CGTCATTCTGTTCAACCCCTTACGTTCTGCGCACGGACCTCCGAAGAACTTTATGATGTCGGTATTTTATTTTCATTTTATTTCTTCAATTCTTTTTTTTTTCGATGTTAATGGATTATTCATGTTGCTGTTTATCGCGGAATACTGATAATAGCTCTTTATACTGCAGAGTAAAAAAAAATATTTAATTCATTTGTTTTTGAAAAATGGTTCAACGTTCAGTAACGGTTACTTTGAGAAATTAAGCAATGCTTAATAATAATCTGAATATAAACAAGTGTCAAATAGGGAACGTCGCGTGAAACATTTTAAATGATATTATTGTGTGCAAATGATTTTATTGTTATCTCACCGCTACGCATTTCGTCACTCGTGCGCATTTTAATGACGTAAAATGTACTTCGAATTTTCTGTGTTATAATATTATTTCATATGAGGTACATTTAACACGTTCGTTGCCAGCGTTAAATATTTGTGACGATCGTGTTCCTATATTTTATATAATAAAACTGAAATTAATCCTACAGATATTGTTATTAGAAATTATAAACTACGACATTATACTTAGTTTCACTTTCATTTTTCGAATATTTTGTTTAGATTTATTGGATCGAAGGAAATATTATAATTGAGGAGACCATCACCGAAATAAGCGCTGATTGCGAACGTGTTAAAGCTTGGAGAGATCAAGTCAAGAACTGTTCAGGTTAGGAATATTCAGTTTTAAATATCTAGCAAATTATAACATCGGTATTTAGATTCATATTCGTTTGCGTCTCGTGTATAATGAAGGGGTCTTTTTTTTGTCGGAGCTATTTGATGGTATCGTTTTATCATGTTTACCTTCGCGTTCTGGGGAGTGAACTTTATTAAATTCTTGGAATCTCCTCGTCGCCAGGGGGCGCCCTCGCGTTGTTGTTCTCTGTCTCTTATTTTTAATCTACCCTTTTCATCTTTTGTTCCTTTCTGGGATGTTTTTTTCCCCTGTTAGACTCTTCCTTGTTATATAAGTCCAAGGACGAACTGCACGGCTGCACACAACATACATACACACGCTCGCACGTTCGCACACGTCTCTCCCCTAGTGGTTACGTTGGTTTTCCCCTCTTCTTCCAACCTGTGCTCTGTTGTCTTCCTTTCTCTTTTCTTCTTTTTATACTTCCGTCTTGTCGTACTCTTCCCCTCCCCTTTCCTTCATCTCTTTCAATCTCCCCTCCCTAATCTACATTCTTCTCTATTCTTTGCCTCACTGTTGCCATATTATATTGGCCGGCTCTGCCATGTTAGCCGCGCACCGGTTACACCTCTTCGTTCGTCTGTCTTGTTGCGTGCACCGGCCTCCGTGTAACGCTCGCACGAATGATTTCTGCTGTGTCTAGCCTGTTGCCTGACGGTGTGAGCCGGTAGGGAAATATTGAAACTGTTCCTGTACCGCTCCAATGATTTTTGCCCCCAGCAAATCTTGCCAAAGTAAATGGACCAAGCGGTAAGAATTGATTTCCCTCTGTGTAATGAACAAGGGTTCTCAAACGTGACACAGCGAGACTGCGTTGATTACTTCTTTCTAAATATTTAATCCGCGATACCTTATTGAACAGACATCATTCAACTAGGTAAGGCCATCAGTAATTGACCCGGTATCAGTAGTTATCCATTTTCAGGAAACTGTAAGAAATAAGGTTTTTAACAGTAATAATCTTCCTCTTTTACCTGAATTCAATTGTTTATCATAAAAACTAACAATTTAGTTCATTAACGTTGGTTGTATGCCTCTAACTTCCAACACGAAATTAACTTCTTTTCATTTGTATTTGTCACCTCAATTAAATTAATCACCGTTAGTGTTTTTAGTTTTACTATAAGTGGTCAACTATTAACTAATATATGGTCAATTACTAGTTCTCTCGTTTTCAAGGATGGTCAACTTCTGACGCAAGTATTGGACTTTCAAAAATGTCTATAACATTTGAAGAAGAACTTGTAAGAAGTTCAAACAGCATTTTCACGCACAGTCTCTCTATTTAATAAAGAAGCAAGCGTTTACTATTATTCACGCAGAGAATTTTTCTTAACTGGTCAACTATTGGTGCTTCTACCTTAATTTCACATTTTTCAATTTTCACTCAGTCAATGATGTTACAAGGTGGCATTATTAGGGTGTACGAAATACTACGGACATCTCGTTTCTGTAGTTTGACTTTCCTTCGTGATTCGACGAACGAATTTTCAAGTATTATGTTTCGTTGCGGTCAGACTATTGTTGCTGCAGATCCACGGCAATTAGAGGGTATTGATTTATCGACAGCGGCTAGAGTAGCGTTCCACACAAACTGGAAAGATGGATAATCGTTGGCCTTGCACGGGATTATACCTGGTCAGGCTATTGTGTGTGGTTCCGTGTCCACGGTGGAATCGTACGAATTTGTGCGTTAAACCGGACGTATTACATGGCAAATTAAACGTTCCGTTTCGGGGGGACGAAAATGATGGGCTCGCAATTATTAATGCACCCCGGAAGTCACGCCGGTGTATCGATTCGCCGCGAATCGTGTTATTAGTATCGTAGTCTTGTTCCATGGGGTGAGATTCACCTGGGAATGAAATTTTTATAACAAAATTTCTAATCATATTTATACCACACTATAAATTTATACAGTATATCATGTTACTGTAAAGTTATATAGAATAATAATTACATAATTGTCATCAGGTGTAAAGAACAGAACACGAGAATCTCATTTCTTCGTTTTTCTGTACAACACCAGCTGGAACTGTTATCTCTTGAGATGTATGCAGTTCTCTCGTATTGCAAGAATCTAATAGTAAAATTAGCAATTACAGTGACTTATTTCTAATTTTGTATAAGTAAAATACAAATTAAAACAATACATTTTGTGAGATTTGGAGGGTTTCTTATTGTTTTACCTATACAAATGCATAAATTTGTTTTTGAGAAACGATGGAGAAAAATAGGAAGTCGATTTTCCGAGTAACTCGAGGTTACAGGACGTTGAACATTTTTCGTTGCTCGTAGAGTCGCTTCGTCCTGCCCCGTCCCGTCCCCGTGCCGTTCTGGCCTTGTTTTCGCGCGGTGCGTTTTTGCGGCATCGTCTAGCCGGCTGTTCTATTTGAACTTCGTCGAACGAGTCAATTAGCAAGCTGCCCCAACAACTGCCGGCGTCGTTTTCTTTTGCTCGAACTGTCTGCTTGTATGCGAGCGATCTACACACGGTGTCTCCGAAACACCGACTCGAATCGACGAAATGGAAACACTTGATTGTTCGAAGTTGCACAATCGAAAAAGATAAACTTTAATCTACAACCGTTGGAATCATAAAAACACTTGCATCCAATAATACTCGAAAGACGAATATTCTAATACCACAAAAGTTAACGATTAACAACAGACAAGTAACATTTAATTTATATTCGAGACAAGTAAATAACAGTTAGATTCGTCAAATGCAGTTGAAAGTTTTCTCTCAGATTAAAGTGTACAATTGAATTTCCCGAATACCGAGGTTCCACTGTGTTCAGCAGTTCTATATCATTAACCCTTTGCACTTGAGAGGTGACTCTTACTCACCACCTGATTTCATACAGTATGACTATAAAATTTGATATTTAATATTATACCTTGCGTGACATATCAATTTTATTAAAATAAAACAGTTTGTTGCTTGATTT